TCCTCCTCCTCCTCCTGCCTCCTCCTCCTGCTCCTCCTCCTCCTGCTCCTCCTCCTCCTCCTTCTCCTTCTCATCCTTCTCCTTCTCCTTCTGTCACTCCTCCTCCTCCTCCTTCTCCTCCTCCTTCTCCTCCTCCTCCTCCTCCTCCTTCTCCTTCTCTGCCTCCTTCTCCTTCTCTGCCTCCTTCTCCTTCTCTGCCTCCTTCTCTGTATCCGTCTCTGCATCCTGCTCCACCACTACCGCCTCCGCCTCCGCCTACGCCTCCGCCTTCGCCTCCGCCTTTCTCGCCTACGCTGAGGTTATTTTGCAAGTCGAGACGGTCAGCTTCCTGAACTAGTCTTCCAGGTCCCTTAAGTATGTTTTAGATCAATTCTAAAAGATATTTTGATATTTTAAAAATAAATGAGTATTTTAAATAAAATATAGTTTTAAACGATCGGAGCTGTAAAGACTGCACCATCCAATGCCCGTGACCCTACCCCTCACGCTACCCCACCCACTAAAGGAATTGAAACCTGGATGGTGTACTACCCCCACCATCAATATATCTGAGTCACACACGGGTTCCGTCGACTATGAGTACCCTACCCCTATCACACCTCCCCTGTATCCCAATCCGATTTCTGCTGTGATCTGTAGCCGACATCCAATTCGGTACACGCCACCGCGGAACGGTTACAACGGTTACAATAGTAAGTAAAGGGCCGTGGTCGGTATGAGTCGAGATCTCTCACGTCAGTCGACGGCGACTACAATCGCGGCTGAGCTTCAACGCTCAGAGCCATGACAAGATCAGAGCAGCCGCACAACGTGAGAGGGGAGGGGAGGCGGAGGCAGCGGAAGGTACAACTCTGCTAGTTTAGAATAGAAGTAGACGGAAAAATGAAAGAGGAAAGAACTCGAGAGCCTTAGGGCGCGTACGTTAGTCTCACGTCAGCCTTGAAGTGGAAGGGGACCATCCCTATCACCCATGTCAGCCCCTCGCAACCTGCCAGTTTCAGCTGGAATCACCTAACCACCCGGCCGACCATTTCTCGGGCACCAGTCCAGCTCGACGGAAGGCCGTGTGAAGAGTATTCTGCCCCGCTTGCTGTCAGCTAAGAGAGGAACCCAGCATTTTATCACCTCGTAGAGCGGTGCTGGAAAGAGCGAGTCTATTCTTGCACGAAACTCTTGAGCCCGCGACTGCTCCACCTGCTCACCGTCAGCTCTCTCCAACGTAGACTTCTGGCTCACCTGAAACCCCGTCCAGCCAAGGAAGGAATCTGCTTGCGAGTCGCTGAAAGGAAGCGCTCTGATCAGCCCATCCGTAGCGCTGGCCCCCTAAGTCAGCCATGTTCCGCTACTCAAGCTCTCAGTACCTGAACTGAAGCTCGCGGAGGATGCATTCATGTTGACTCTTGATCTGCAGCCTCGTGCACAGGTCCACCTGCTCAGTGGTCAATTTTCTTGCACTCCTCCCGCTCCTCCCACCTGACGCTGAAAGTTTGGATCTTGAAATGCTGAGTCGTTCTGCAAACAGATTGAGGACAAGTGCAAAAAGGAGTCCTCCTTCACCTTCCTCCTGTCCTCCCAAACAGCTCGCATCCGCTTCACTGTCTCCAGCCAATGCTCCTGCCCTTGTCTCGCTTTCCTCTGCATTCTAATCATCGCCGTCCTCCATCTCCTCCTCCTCCTCCTCCTCCTCACCTGCATTTCTGGCCTATTCCTGACATGTGCTCCGCTCCCCTCTGCACGAGGCTGGGAGGGTTCGGAGTCGTTCAAATGAGGAGGTTTTGCTTTGAGCAAGGAGCTGCTGGTCCCGTTGGCAAGAATAGGTGTGCTAGCCTTGACGCTGATGGGATGAACGACCTGAGGGGAGGAAACAGGGATAGAAACAGCTAGTGGATGGGAGATGATGTTCTCGACTGTTGCATTGCTTCGATTTGAGGCGTAGGAGGTCGAGGTAGAGGGCGTCTCGTCTCTGTTGGACACGTGATCTATGGCCTCGTGCGATTCGTCCTTCACGTGAGTCGTATCTGGCTTCTCTTCTACTTCCTCCTTGTCGCTCTGCCACTCACAGTCATCATCGCCAATCACATCACGCTCTGATTCCTCCGACACCTCATTCGCCTGTTGACTCCCGTCGTCGCTCCAGCCTGATCGCGTCAGCACGGACTGCTCTGAGATGACAGCGGGTATCGCGTGCACGTCTCGCTTCCTCGACGATATGTGATTAGCTGACTCGAATCCCGTGTGGTCTCGCTTCCTCGAGCTGCCTATCGGCTGCTGCCATGACAATCCCGTTCTCCCGTATTTCAATGCACGTTCATTCGTCTGCTATATCATTTCATCAGCCTTGCGCGTCAAACACAAGCGGCATACCTCCTGCAGGTCTTCTTGCTCGATCACCTCCAGAAACGTCTCGAAGCCCTCGACTGAGCCCGACATGCTCATGGGCGCATCGATGGAGCCGTGTCGTCCTCGTAGCCCCGAGATGAGAGAGAACGAACCTTCCCCAAGTCGCGGGATGTGGGTTGGCTGCGCGTTCTCAGGTGTAGCCGAGTTGGAGTGACGATCGCGAGAGTCGAGCTCGGGGGTGCGAGGAAGGAGCGGGGTCTCAGACTGGGTGGATCCGAAGAGATTCTCATCCAGACTGCCTCCAGACAGCATCATAAGCGACGCTATGCTACCTCTACTTCTGTTCCGCATGTCCGTCACCAGACAGGCCGGCGCGTCCATCCAGTTTTCCTCAGGCTTTATGGAGGGAAGAATGTTCTGGATGGCCTGGTCGAGGTGGCGATGCTGATCTGAGCTGCTGTTCTCATGGCTGTCGAAGTTGTCAACGGAATCTTCCATCGACAGGGTGCTGAAGATCCTCGAGCTTTCCAGCGGCATCTTGGATCTGCGGAATTGTCAGCATCAGGCAGACCCCTCAGCAACCTTGATGCGGACGACCTGAAATGAGATACTTGGCGGTGTTGACGATCTCAAATATGTACAATGATCTTCGTTGTAGAACCTAGCACGAAGTGGTCACAGCAAGCAGAGCAGAGCTGGCGTTAAAAGCGCATATCATCTCAATTCAAACAGGTTTCAAACGACGTGTTTTTCGTGTAAATCCCCGCCAAACATGACAACGAGCTCTTGATTCGCTCTGATCCACACTAAACAAAACACTCGATCTAGACTAAAAGTAAAATGTGTTAGTTTCAATGGGTATCAAGGATCGTCACGGAACCAGATAAATACCATCCGCAAACTAGAGTATCAGATCAGCAAAGTGTTCACAATGCGACAACCTTCAATAAAACAGCTGTTTCTTTGCATATGTTTCAAACCACAGAGGACTTCGACACCTTCAGAACAACTCGCTGATCAATGAGTTCTGATGACTCGCATGCTCCCTAAATGCAGGCACAGATGGCATGTATGTATGGATGTTCATGCATATCTCGGCAACCTCTACTTCTATGTCTTTGTCTATCTATCATGTTTGGTCGCATCTTCCTCCTCCCCCTGCCATGGCGCTTGGGTGAAGGTGCTGGTCGAGCCCCTTCTATCTTTCAGCAAAGCTTTTACGACAAGGGTTATCTTTTGCTTTCAATTTACATTTCCAGCTTCATCAATTTTCCTTCTTACCCAGAATTTGGAGAAGCAATTTTCATAATTTCATGTAATTACTGAAACTTTTGATCGAAGAATCGAAATCGTTGAACCCCCTTTCTAGATTCATTTTTCCATCCTTGTATGGTGCGACAAGGACCCCGTAGGTTTCCTTTCATCGCACCGGTCGTGCAACTGTAAAAACTGTGATTTAAAAGTATTTTACTGTACGTTTTAAAATTTAGGGGAAGCTAAAAACTCAACGATCTGTTGAGATTATTTCTCAGAAAGAGGAGATAAAACTCTTTTTGTACGTCATCGAGAAAATAAAGCATAAATATGTTTTAAAACTTTTATTAAATGAACTCCTGAATTTAAAGAATATTTTAAACAGTTTTAAAATATCAAGATCCGGCTGTATATCTTACAGCTGCTCACCCTCCTGTTTGACCAGGCACGCGCTCAATTCAGTGAGGGGTGGTCACATGACGGGTGGGGCCTGGCGGGAGGCATCACTCCGTGACTCACAGGCAGGAAACTTGAAAAAGGCGGCCCGGGGTCGGTACCGTACGGTCGCGTGGCACTGCAGTCACGGCGCGGCAGCGGCGGGCCCCGGCGGGCCCCGGCTCAGCTGACAGTGAACTTCGGAAGCGGCCCGGGCTGTGAGGCTCGGAACTTCGGAACTCCGAAGGCTTGCCGCTGAGTTGGCCGGGCAGGATGCCATGATGGGGTTTGGTTCTCGCCGCAGGCTGTCCGATCTTTTCTCTTCTCGCCGTTTGGCCAGTGCGACAGTGTCAGTGTCCTCGTACCCGGGCCCCCCCGGTACTTATTTTTAACTTAACTTTGACGGTAAAGGTCAAGCCGCTCTTCGACCGTCCCCCCAGGCTCCCGGTCCTGATGTCCGGCCGCCGGGCCGCCGCCGGGGCCTCAGCGGCCTAGCCTGACCGACCGAAGTTCCGATTCGTCCGGACGGGAGTCCCGGGCCCGGATGCCAGCCTCCCCGGTCCCCCGGGAGCGGCCGCGGTTGCACGGCCCGGCCCGGCCCGGCCTGCGGCGCGGCACTGACCGACAGTGTTAGTATCGGCCCTCGGCTCGGATGATCAAGTCAACCGGGCCCCCCGGAATTCAGGCTAGGAAAACTTCGGAAACTAGTAATTTCTTATTCAACGTCGGACTAGATTTCTTATTGACAGGCCCTGAGCATTGAAACAAAGGAGCCTGGGGGAGGATAAAGCCTACAAACTTGAAACCTGCCTCAATGAAATACTAGAAAACGAAGGAGGCAGCGGCGAAAAGTAGTGCCGGCGAGAGGCTCATCGGAAGTTTAGCTAGTAAACTGTCGTTTAGCTGTTATCATTAGCTGATAAACTTGGTGAACTGGACTACTGACTACCCCCCCCCCCTCTCGGAGGCTCTTCCCCTCACATGACAGGACGAGGGACCCGTACTCCTCTATCGGCAGTAACTTGATCTAAAACGGGAACGAAAGAATCAGACTCTCATTAACGCCGCCATGTTTGCTGTCCTTCACGAAACCTTCGGTCACATGCTGGGCAACTGGAAGGAAGAGGTGAGCTACAAAGCGCAAGACTATTGTGTCTAGATCCTGCAGTTCCTCTTGAAGTCACGTGCTTCAAGTTCATCTTTCACATCGAGTTGCCCTGAACTTCACGTCGCTACCTAATACGTGTATTGCGGCTTCCGGGTCCTGCGAGGCAAGAGGACCGTAACTGATGCACCGTGATATCATCATCACAGAGTTGTCACTCTAACTCTCTCTGTTGTGCGTTTATTGCTGCCTGCCATGTGTGAATGTTTGATTTGACGTGACATCAATAACCTGGCACCATGATTTTTCCTGAATGCGATGCAATCGTATGAGGAGAACTTGAATGCATGTATTACACTTTTGAACTTAACCGATGTATCGAAATCAGATCAACAATGGAAAGGATACTATGTTTAATCAACGCAAGATTATCGTGAAGGTTGACACTATCACTAAGTAACTTATCAATTGGAATCTTGCCGTTATCTGACTCATCGAAAGGGCCGAAGGCGTCAACAGCATCGGGGAGTTTGAGAGCTAGATGGCAGACTTCATTTCACGTTTGTCCGGCTGATAGTAAAGATAGTGCAATGACCATCAGCATTGTCTATAGAATTCGACTACCCATGGCAGAGTCTATCAAGGCCAAAGCCATCTCAACAGTCTCCTTGTTCTCTGACTCGCTGCCCAACCCAGGATTTACTTCCACCTGCTACAGCGTCACAAGGACGAATGAATCAGCTACTGTACCATGTCAAGTGATCCAAGTTGTCCCGTGCCTGAGACGGCTTCGACTAGATAATGGGCCTCACGAAAAGTAAGGCCTCCTCGCACTGCTGTGCCAGTGCTTGGTGCATGTAAGGGATCGACAGCATCTGTTGTGACATTAGAAAAGAGACAGAGAAATGAATCCATGAGAGAGCAAAGATTTCTCCAGACCAATGTCGTAGCTGCAATGCAACGGTCGGCCATAAAGTTGATCAAAAGTTCGTTCCATTACACCAGCGATTCCTGAAACCGTCATTAGCAACAGCACCTGGTTAAAATCGAATAGATTCGATGGCTCACCATATCTGTCTACATGTTGCATCGTGAAGCAAGTTATACCAAGATCCTTCAAAATTTTCCTTTCGGCTAGGCTCCTCAGATGAAAAAAACTGGAGACATGGGTGATACCTGGATCGACGTCTCGGAGACCGATGTATACTAATTGTGCAGGGTGCAGCGGTGGAGTGCTTTCAAGCCAATCCCATCCAGGAAATAGCGTTGGTTCAACGAGTCTTGTCAGGAACGCAACTGGCATACCATGCATATTGCCCGACGTGCTCAGCTCGGGAGTGTTAATGTCTGCATGTGCATCCACCCAGATTACTCCCGTATTTGGACGGGCCTTCAAGATCCCTGCGACCGTTCCTGCTCCGATGCTGTGATCTCCACCCAAAGTAAGAGCAAAATTCCCTTCACTTGCAGCATAAAAAGTGAGCTCATGCACAGCTTGGCACACTTTTCCAACATTGTAACAATTCTTGGTCTTTCCGGACAACAGCGAGTCCGGCTTCGGATCATTCTCATGTGGAGGATCGATGGCAATGTCACCGTTATCGCGTACTGTCCAACCCAACTCCTCGAGCTCTCCTCTCAATCCAAATTTTCGAAGCATTTGGGGACCATAATCAGTACCATGATTTGGCTGCCCATAGACCATTGGCACCCCAAAGACTGAGCATGTCTTAGGGGACTTGAGGAATGAAGGAAATGGAATATCTGCTGGATGAACTTGACGAAAGACCCTTTGAGTGTAAGACCTCGACGATGGACTGTTGATCAAATACTTCTTCATCTAGTAAGCAAACATCATTCATTCGTGCTTATTTGCATGACATGTCTTCACCTTGCTAGGATTGCAAAAGTACACCATGTTCTGACATGCTTTTGTATGATAAACATTCTTCATCCTGGGGAAATTTATCAGTAGATGTTATTATGAATCTTTGGGTGAACTTGACAATCAAGAAGAAAAGTCGAAACGAATTCGACAAGGGAAAATGTGACAGTGGCAAGAGCAAGTAGTATCGTGTTTCGATAGCTCATATCTCCATCATGTTTACATAGCTCATAGTAGAATCATGTTTACATAGCTCATATCCCAGGGATCATCCTAAGCGACACACACGAGATTCAGCTCCTCTCCCTCATCATCATTTTTCAGCGCTGTTGCAGAGTTTGTTTGCAGGCACTTGAACTCTGAGGCGTGCTAAGTCCGACTGTCTCTAGTCGGCCGCGCGGCCCGGGGGCTGGCCCGGGGCCCGGGGGCGATGGCCCGCGCATCAGGAGTGAGAAATGCGATGGAGGGTTGGATCGCTGGCAGCTGTCATGGTGGCGTCGAGCCTCGTAGGCGAAGCGACTTGGGAGAGAGAGTCGAGCAGACGAGCAGCCCCATCATGCGCGGTCTCCTTCAACTCGATCCTCTGCTCCAGGGTCTCACTTGGCTCCCTCAAGCTTCGAGGTGGCGGAGGCGGGGCACGAGAAGTCAAGACGAAGGCTACCAAGAAGAAGAAGCAAAAGGAAGAGGAACAGCCCGTCATGCAGACCAAGGCGAGTGCTGTGGATGGCTTATCCCGCGCACAGAAAAGAGCAGCCAAGGAGGCTGCGAAGGAGCAAAGACGAACCGGCTTGACACGAAACCAGAGGTATGTGAGCTACAACGCCCTTTGATACTATGATGGATCTCATTCTTTCTACAGAGAAGATAGTGAAAGCGATGGCAATGACCCGATCCGCAAGTTGCAAGAGCTCAAAGACAAGAGAAAGGTGAACAAACTGAAGGCACAAGCTTCTTTCGATGGCTTCCTGGAAGCAGAACCCCCTCAACCAGATGACAAGAGAAAGAAAGCAACTCAGATTGACGATCAAGATGCAGGCAAGGCAAGAATGTCCCATCAACATATCAAATCGCAATCCTGCTCGGCTGGGAAGGAAGGAGACAATCGCGGTAAAACTGGTTTGCAAGGAGGGGATCGACAAGTAGGGCAGTTGTTGGAGGGTTGTCAGTTGGAGGAATGGAAATCTACTTTTGCCAAGGAGAAGATAACGTATGAGACTCTGTTTGACCTCAACAACCAAGATCTCGTCGATCTCGGCCTGGCGTTGGGCGAGAGGAAGCGGCTCCTCAAGGCCATCAGCCAAGCAAAAAGCAGCTCGGCAACGCCAGAAACAGAGCAGGGCTTAATGGCAGCGTCACAGGAGGGGAAGGGATCTGAGATTAAAACAAATCCGAAAACCATGGGACAGAACCGTCAGATGCGAGGTGACGTGGATGAGGAACACAGTCAACCGCCTGATGTAGAGGACTGTCAAAATCTTCTCGCCGATGTGAGGCTGGGAGGAGAGAGAGATGAAGGTAAGGGAGGGAAGGCTCTGCTCGCCGCTTACTATGAGCCTGACGTCGATGAAGAGATAAAAGGTAGGAAGCGGCAGGAGCGCAGGAAGAAACCAGAGGCGGAGAAAAACCTGAAGGCTGGTGAGCATTACAGCGCTTTGGAGTGCTGGGTATCCTTGTGACCCTCAAGTCAGAAGTTGCAGATGGAAGAGAAGAAAAAGTTGAGAGAAGACTTGCTGATGACCTGCTGGACTCCCTCGTAAGCTCGCGGTTGATACTCGCGCTTGTCATGTTTTCATGCTCCCAGGCAAAGAAGCAAACAGAAGTTGAAGAAGGTGAAGAAGAGGAGGAGGAGGAGGAAGAAGGCAAAGACTTATGTGAAGCAAGGTAAGGAGGAGGGAGAGAAGAAATTGAAGTGAAAACCTTTCAGTCCTGTGATCGGAGGAGCGATGCAACTTGAAAATTTCGCATTGACGCAGCGGGGATCGAGCGTAGAAGGAGGAACAGAGAGCATGAGCAAGGACATCAGTGTCTCTGGTTTTTCGATCAGCGTTGGAGGAAAAATTTTGCTGGAGGATGCAGAGCTTCTGATATCTGCGGGAAACCGATACGGTCTGGTGGGTCCCAACGGGCAAGGCAAGTCGACGCTCCTCATGCACATCGCCAAGAAAGCGATCGCGATCCCCCGGCACATCGACATCCTGATGGTGGAGCAGGAGATCTCAGCGAGCAGCAAGACTCCCCTACAGCTTGTGCTCGAGGCCGATGTCCAGCGGGATGTGCTGCTGCGAGAGCGAGACCAGCTGGAAAAGCAGCTGGCGAGGAGCTTCGACATGAAGAAGCAAGAGAGGCTGCAGGAGGTCTACTCCAACCTCAACGCCATGCGCGCTGACGCCGCTGAGAGCGCTGCGAGACGCATCCTGCTGGGATTGGGATTCCCCATGGCGTGGCACGAGAGACCATCGTCCTCCTTCTCTGGGGGTTGGAGGATGAGAATCTCCCTCGCCCGCGCCCTCTTCATCCGCCCAACTCTTCTCCTCCTCGACGAGCCGACGAATCACCTTGACCTCAATGCGGTGCTTTGGCTGGACGACTACTTGAGAGGATGGGAAAAGACTCTCATCGTGGTCTCACATGACGTGGAGTTCCTCAACTCCGTCTGCACTCACACCATCCACCTGCACGAGCGCAAGCTCTACTACTACCGAGGAGGATACGACTCTTTCCGCTCGCAATTCGAAGCCAAGCAGACGGAGAGAACGCGAGCGTGGGAGAAGCAGCAAAAGACTCTCCGAGCCCTCAAGGCGTCTGGCAAGAGCAGAGCGCAGGCCGCGGAGACTCTGGCTAAGAAGGGGGGGAAGGGAGCTGAGAAAAGCAAGAAGGGGGGCAAGGGAGGCAAGGAAGAGGAGCAGAAGCAACCTGTGATCCTCTCGAAGCCCAAGGAGTATGAAGTTCGATTCCACCTCCCCGAGCCTCCCGAGCTCTCCCCTCCCTATCTGCAGCTCTGCGACGTGAGCTTCTCCTACGAGCAAGGGCCTCACGTCCTCACCAACGTCAACCTCGGCCTCTGGCCCGACTCTCGCGTCGCAATCGTCGGGGCCAACGGCTGCGGAAAGTCGACGCTGCTTCGGCTCATGCTGGGTGAGCTGACCCCCAGTAAGGGGGAGGTGAGGCAGAACCCGAAGCTGCGAGTCGGGAGGTACAGCCAGCACTTCGTGGACGTGCTGCCGCTGGAGCAGACGGCAGTGGAGCATCTACAGGCGCTGGCAGCATCGCACGGGAACTCGATGCTAGAGGGAGTTCAAAAGTGCCGGCAGCAGCTGGGGCGATACGGGCTTGAGAGCAGAGCACACGTGATCGGGCTGAAGCATCTGTCCGGGGGTCAGAAGGCTCGAGTCGTGCTCGCCTCCCTCGCGGCGTCTGTGCCGCACGTGCTGCTATTGGACGAGCCGACAAACCACCTGGACATCGAGAGCATTGAGGCGCTGGGAGATGCGCTGCTGGACTTCAAGGTGAGACAGCTGAAGACAGACGGGGAGGCGAAGAGAGCGGAAGAGATAAGGATAGAGGAGGGCGGAGGGATTAGAGGAGGGCAGAGGGATCAGAGGAGGGCGGAGGGATCAGAGGAGGGCGGAGGGATCAGAGGAGGGCGGAGGGATCAGAGGAGGCTGCTAACGAGGTCTCAGGGGGCAGTAGTGCTCGTCAGTCATGATGCGCGGCTGATCCGTCGAGCCATCAGCAGCAGCAGCAAGGGAGAGATCTGGGTGGTGGGAGACGGGAAAGTGACGCCTTTCCTCGGGGACATGGACGACTACCAGCAGTTGGTGCTGACGCAGATGGAGAAGATGATGGAGGGATGCGATACCAGGTGAGCCGAAGAGACTGAGAGGTCACGTGACTTGCAGCGGCAGGGGCATGAAGCTGCAGGCAGTCGAGGGAGCGACTACGACAGAAGCGCTTCCAAGCAAGAAGGGAAGGATGAGAGCAGTCTCCAATAGCAAAAGACAAGATGAAGAAGCCGACGAGGACGAGGACGAGGACGAGGACGAGGACGAGGACGAGGACGAGGACGAGGACGAGGACGAGGACGAGGACGAGGGAAAGGAGGGGGAGGGGGAGGGGGAGGGGTAGGAGGAAGACTGAAAGTTTTTGGCGGGCGAGGGATGGAAGGCCAGATAAGAAAAGGATATGGAGCATCAGGCGTGAGGAGGCGTCCGTGGCACCTTGAATCTTCCCTCGAAAGCTGTCCTCAACTCCTCGACTGAGATGCTCTGGGATGATAGTCAGGGGGAGGTGGTTGAGGTGGAGATATACCTGCAGGGAAGGGTTCTTCTCTCTCGCTCGCTGCTGAATCTTATCAAGATTGTCCTGCGTTGGTGTCCTGATCCTCCTCGCTCCTCGCTCCTCCAACTCCTTCTTTTCCGAAGTCTCTTCCAGCTGCGTAACATCTCACAGAGAGCTCCTGAACGCACAAGCAGCTTCCCCTCCATCACCTGCTGGTCCTTCCAGCTGCGTTGCGTCGCTTCCTTCTCCTCGAGCACGCTTTCTTGCTCCTCCTCCAGCTGAGCAGAGGAAGAAGAGGCTGGGGCAGCACCCCCTGCCCTGCTCGGCAGCTCAGCCTCAACAGCACCCCCTGCCCTGCTCGGCTGCTCAGCCTCAACAGCATGCAGTTGCAAGGCAGCCGTTGACTTGCGGAAACGTAGGTAGAGAAACTCAGCTCCCTCCCCCTCGTTACTCGCAGGCAAGATATCCTCTACATCCTCTCTCGTCTCTGCGAAAAGAAAGGGTCTTGCTTGCTCCTGGCCCTCGCCTTCCTCCTCCGACTCCTCGGACTCGAGCTCCTGCTCCTCAGCGGCTTGTGTGACTTCGTCGCGACGGAGGTGCAGGAGGATCATCTGGATCTGCGAGGACAGTCTCAGGTAGCCTTGTGCGCGATTCAGCTCCACGAGTGCGAGGAGAATCTCTAGGAGCCCCATCGTCTCTGCCGCCTCGAGGAACGACTTGTCCTTAAGGGACGCGTAGAGGACTCCATGCACGCACTCCCGCACTGCCGGGTCATCATGCTCAAGCAGGTCGACGAGGATGGGCAAGACAAACTTGCGACGGAGAGCAAGAGAGGCTCGTCCTTGCGGGGTCTGCGATAGGTTCAGCAAGAACCCGCAGGCGTAGCGGGCAAGCGAGTCTGAAAGCTTGTCGGGGTGGAGGAGGAGGTTGAGGCACCAGTCCATCATCTTTCTCCTCTCTGCCTCTTCTCGCACGATTCTCCTTCTCGAGCACTTCTGCGTGAAGCCCAGCAGGTGCAGCATTGTACGGCCTTGGTTAGAAGAATCTTGAAGTGCTGCCAATACCAGCTGCACTCCAGCTGCCCCCATCCCCAGCAGGTAGGATCGTCCAGCTGAGAATGACGCGAGGGTGTCCAGAAACCTTGCGGTCTGCTGGCGCAGCGACGCCTCAGACGAGCACAAGCAGCTCTCGAGCGTCCGTGTCCCCTCCTGCAGCCCCAGCAGGTCCCCCTGCACGTACTCCAGCACCACCTCCCGCTGCTGCCCCCTGGTCCTGCGCCAGCAGCGCGTCAGCAGCCCGTGACACAAGAGGAGCAGACCTGCGAGTGACGCGCCATCGCAGCGCCTGCAGCAGCCGAGCCTTCAAGGCCTCCTGTCTCCCTGCCAGCATCGCCCTCATTCCCTGCAGGCTCAAAGGAAAATCTCTAGCGCCATCGATTCGCAAGAGAGCAGCGGCTCTCCTCTCTCGCTCTGCTTCTTGTCCACCTCGATCCTCCGCTTCTTGTCTGCCTCCTGCGGGATCCTCCTCCTCAAAGTCCGACTGGAGCGCCAGTGAGATCAGGTTTAGCAGGTCTCGCAACGCGCTCTCCTGCATTGCAGAGCCGCTGGTCGTCATCGCCTCGACACGCTGCCTCACCTGCAGCAGCAGCGATCGCATCCTCTCTACCACCCGCTGCTCCTGCCGCCCAGCAGGTCTACCAGAAGGTCCATCGGATGACACGCGATAGATCTGAGGCAAGAGCGGTGCGCGCAAGCTGTTCTTGAGGAAGGAGGCCAGAGAGGAGCGAGTGTTGTCAATCCAAGCTCGTTCAAAGTAGATCCCAAGCTCGCGCGACTGCCATGGCGCCTTCAGCACAGGAAGAGCGCAGACATGCGCATAGTTGAGCTCCGCGAGAGTGTCTCGCCCTCTTCCCTCCACGTACAGCTGCAGGGCCGATAACGGGTCTTGGCTCCCAGCATGGAAACTACTTCTCCTTGCTTTCTGCGCTTGGAGGTGTTGAGCTGCGAAGTGAACGTGCAGATCTAGTTCAAGCTTGCGAGAAGAAATGTGTGACTTGACGAGTTGCTGTGGGATGCACTTCTCCCAGAAGTTCCAGAAGCGGTTGAACCCTCCATCATCGAAGTCCTGCAGCATCTTCCCCATCACTCGCTCTCTCCAGGCCGGACCGTTCTCCTCCAGCAGCAACGCATTCTCCTGCATCAAGGGTATCTCCTCTTGCAAGCTGCGTAGAGTTGCATGGAGACCATGAAAATGAAGGAAGCCCTCCACGAGCTGTCTTGTTGAGAGCGCTCCTTCATCTTCTCGCTCTGATGTCACTGGTGCCTTGTCAATTGCCTCATGCCCATACGGCTCCCTGCTATCCTCAGCTGCAAGCTCAGCTGTAGGCACCTCTCCTTCTTGCCCTCTTCTACTTTCTGTATCGGTGTGTTCGCGTTCTCGAGATTCATCGAAATGCTGCTCTCCACTTGTGTCGTCGTAGGAATCATGATCATCATGATCTCCTTGTCGATGTACTGGGTCGTTGTCAGTGTTTGCATCTGCATCGTCTGCATTGATTTCATCGTCTTGCTCCCTCTCCTCTCCCAAGTCGTCTTCGTACATGGTGAAGCCGTTGAGAGAAAAAAATACACCGTAAAACCCCGAGGTCACCACAAACTGGGAGAAGGGGAGAGGGGAGTAGGGGAGGAACATGAGGAGGAGATGGAAGGAGGGGAGGGGGAGAGGAGGGGAGGGGGAGAGGAGGGGGAGAGGAGGAGCAGTGGGACATGGGCTTGACTCAAGTTTTCGCTCTCTTCACAGGCTTCTCCTTGAACGTTGTTACATCGCTTTGCAGGTGGTAGTAGCCTTGGGGATACATGTGCGGAATAGTTCTTCACCGCCATGTATGAATCCTAGTAACGAGGGGACCATGCGGACGCTACTCTCCTCTCCCTCCTCTCCCTCCTCTCCCTCCTCTTCCTGCCCGTCCTCTTCCTGCCCCTCCTCTTCCTGCCTCTCTCCGTCCACCTTCTCTCTCCGCTCCATCCTTCCATACGCTCTCTTATTTGGTAATGTGTTTGTCATGCTTCTGGGCATGAGCACTGCCATGGTGACTGACCGGGTGCATGAGAACCTGTGGTGGGAGGAGGGTCTTGAATGGACGGAAGACATGAAGGTTTACTACGTGTCTGCGAGGAAATTCGAAGCTGTTGGTAAGACGCAAGAGGCGCAGGAGCTGTACGCGTCGCTCATCAGAAAGATTGCGAGGGTCGAGTCAAAGTCAAAAGACTGGCGAGTACATCATTTCAATCTGCTTGCACATCAAGCGCATATTCTGCCAGCCAACGAGAGCATGCAGTTTTACAGCCAAGCGATGGAGGATTGCATACTCGCTGACGAGCTCAAGAGCAGCAGTCGATGGCCTGGGTGGGGACTCTCGTCCTGCTTTGCGGTGGTGACCTCTCTCGCGCTCAAGCTGGACGCACAAGACCCGGGGGGCCAAAGGCTGCCCTCCTCTCAAGCGTCTTCCGCTTTCAAGCTTGCTCGCCGCCTGTCGAGGCGCTCGGAGTTGGTGTGGAGTTTGACTTGGCCGAAGCTAACGGGCCGGGTGTCGACACCTGCGACGAGTGTGCGGAGGGCCGGGAAGCGAGTGACACTGGTCTCCGTTGCGAGTGGGAGATACAACGAGTTTGTGTTGCCTCTCATCAAGTCTGCCAAGGAATTCTTCGTTTCCGCCTGCTGCTCTCTGCGCATCGTCATTTTCACTGACCAGCTGGATGAGCATGTGGAGAGGTGTCAGAGAGAAACTTCAGCTTGTATTGGTGTTGTGTTTGTGCGGCGAGAAGAGCTCGGGTGGCCGTTGAGTGCGATGATGCGGTACCGCAACTTCCTGGACTCATGGAGCTTGCTCGAAGATGCCGATTTCCTCTTCAGCATCGATGTCGATTGTGAATTCGTCGCACCTGTTGGTGAGGAAGTGCTGGAGGATCTGGTCGGCACCTGCCACGTGGACAACGCGTTTTACAGCGGCGAGGAAAAACTTTCAGCGGTTACTCGCATGGAGGGAGAGCGGAGGTGGGAGGAGGGCTCCATGTGGTCGCAAGCTGAGCTGATACAAGCGAGGAAGCGAAGCAAGGGACAGGAGCACAAGAACTTGAGGCCGTCAGCTGCCGTCTATGAGCGAAGACAAGCATCGACAGCCCACATCCCCCCCACTCGCGGTCAGCGATATTTCTACAGCGGCTTCTTTGGTGGATCGCGCGCAAGCTTCCTAAAGATGATTCAGTACATCGTGCGGGCGATCGAAGACGATCTGGCACGAGGAGTGATCGCTAGGGTACATGACGAGAGTCACGTGAACAAGTTCTTTGAGCTCTTTCCGCCCTCCTGCCTCTTGACTGCTGCTTACATGTACCCTGAAGCTGCTGTCCTCCTCGATGAGCTTCTCTGCGCCCCCCTCTCCTTCTGTCCTCGTGACCATATGCATCCTTGGATTTGGCGCCCCTGGCTCCCCGATGCCTGGCCGGATCCTCGCACTTGGACGCCTGACATGTGGAACAGCCGTCCGATGATGGTGCCGCGAATCCTCAATCTTGCCAAGCCAAAGAACAGCCTCATCACCGGCGGGAGAGGAGGGGATAGCGTGTATCGGTATAGGTTGTGGAGCAGCGACATGCACATCGGGCCCATCGGAGACGTGAAGCGGATCTTACGAGCCTTGGGGATGGAAGTGACAGACAAGAGCTTGTCGTCTCACTGCCACGTCAGCAGAACCTGCGCGACCGACCTCAAGGTATTGACGCCTGAAGCTCTCGAGGAAGTGATCCACCTTGATGGCACGCGAGCGAGGAGGAGCCGAGGAGAAGAGGTGCGGGAGAGGTTCTTCAAGGCCTATAGAAGCGACGAGGAGATGGCCAAGGTTGACATGATCATCTGCAGTCACCCGCTCTCCATGTGCGAGCTCTACCTCCCGCTAGGGAAGCCGATGCTGCTGTACAGCACCACTCGTTTCGACTTGGGAAAGTTGACGTCCCGTGAAGAGCTGGAGCGATGGATCAAGACTGTGCGAGCCATCGCAAGCAAGAAGACTAATCTACTGCTTGCCAACAACTTGTACGACGCTGCTTACATCAACTACTTCACTGGAATCACCCCGGACGTCATCCCAAGCCTCTGCAGGACCTCTCACAAGCTTCTCCTTCCTCCCTCTCGGTTGCAGATTCTCCTCGACGTGTGTGATTCTCAGCGCTGTCCTCCTTTTCGTCAGCAAGGTGTCGCGTCCCTCCTGCGTTCCTTGCGTGCCGCGGGAGCTTCAGCAGGCTACCGCGGGGAGCTGGTGGACTTGAGAGAGCTGTACCCTCGCTATCATCCTTCCGACCTGGTGAGACATCCTGCCATCGTCTGGCTCCCCTACCAGGTCTCCGTCATGTCCTTCTTCGAGCGTCGCGCCATGGGGATCCCTGTCCTGGTGCCTTCGCTGAGGCTCTTGGCGGCCTGGCACATGCAACATGGTCTTGTCTTTGAGCGACGAGCTGACTGGCAGACAGCCCAACGCCGACGAGGGTCGCTCCTTCCCCCTCATCCAGACGCCTCGGAGGCGATCAAGGACTGGGACCCCAACGACGAGAGGAATGCTTCTGCTGTGCTGACGTGGCTGTCTAGAGCAGATTTTTACAGCATGCCGCATGTCCTGCAATTCGAGTCCCTAGAGCATCTCTTCGTCCTCCTCGAAACAACCAACTTCTCTGCTGTCTCCGCCAGCATCTTGCGTCACCATGCGAGCCTTGAGCTCGACGTGCATCACAAGTGGAAAAAGGCGATGCGATTGACCCTGGGGTCCCGCCTGCCCGGGAGCTCGTCGAGCAGGTCGAGCAGGTCGAGCAGGTCGAGTTACCGCGAGGCTCTTGCGGAGGAATACCCGGAGCTGACGGGGCTCTACTAAGATACCAGAACGAGGTCACGGCCTGTTCAAGTTCCCTTGTAGCTTCTCACAACTCCTTCTTATAGATCCACTTGTACTTCCTATTTCTCGCATCTTCACAGACTGCTCCTCTGTCTCCATCAGGCGGATCATCGTTGGGCGGGACAAGTCGCCCTAGAGCTCGGCTGACTGTGAGGGGGGCGCAGGTGCTCGAGCCAGAGGTCCCTCCTCCTCTGAGAGTCTGTCCAGTCGACCGAGGAGATTCACTCGCATAAGTTAGAGGGAGTCTTCGCAGGGGCAAGCAACAAGCACACCGTCACGCCGCGCACCACTCTCAGACCTGCAAGTACCTTATGCGATTAAAACTCATAGAGATGCAATCGTGTTAGGGGTTACGTAAGCGGTTACGAATACTTCACTCCCACAACTTGAGTCAACTAGCTGTCTTATCCGGTCGGTTTGGTCGGTTTGGTAGGTTTTGGTCGAATAAAATGGATCCGAACTTTCTTTACGTTCAGTGAGCGCGATTGTGTTGAGGTTCCTGTTTGCTTGTTAACGCAAGTTATCAAGTTGGTTCAAGTTCACGGAGTCAAAGAGCATCATCAGGATTGTCAATCCCTAACATTGGTAGCGAAGGTTGGTTTTTGGTTGAAGTATTCGTAACCGCTTACGTAACCCCTAACAAATCGCTGCTCCTGAAGGCTGCCTACTCCTCCTCGAGCGTTCATCCCTCTTGCCATCTCCACAGACGGTACTCTGCATCCTGACACCCTCCGCTTCATCTGGTATCTGGCAAACATCATCGCTCAGCGCTCGTTGCCTCTCGAGGATGTGGCAGCGCTCGATGCCTCTTGAGGATGCGGCGTTTGGTCGGCACTTCGTTCCTGATGATGGACCTGCTGCTGAGGTCTTGGCTCGCAAACGCGCCCTACCTATCAGCGCCTCACTATGCAGCTGACGCTAGAGGCGCTCCTGTCTGGTGCGAGGCGCATGACGCCCTTGCGGGTGCAAGCGGTCGTCTCGACTGACAGTGGTTAGTCGGATGCCTCCGGGTATCGCGTCTAAGGGGGTTTCATCTCGGACGTCCCCTCCTGCTGCTTATTACCCCTCCTAGCGACTGTTGCTTGGCCCTTCCTGCTTGTCTGAGCGGCTTCGCGCGTGGCCGTGGGCTGGCGGTGCCGGGTCTGCTGACAGTTGCCAGCCGTGCTGGTTCCTTTTGGTCTTGTTTTTTTTGTGTGTGTTTGTGCAGCTTCTCGATGTGCGCTGTGTGCATGCAGTTTAGCTTGTTCCTGCTTTGTACTCAGTGACGGAAGGGGGAGGAGGACGAGCGCCTAGCGCCCCCTAGTGCTGCTTCCCCCCTCCTCATCATCCAGCTCGGATAATGCCTACCGCCGAATGTTTCAGCTCGATTCCTCGTCTGAAGGCTGACTCTCCGCCGTCCCTCTCTGGGGGCACTGCGAATGCTTCGGATGCATCAGCCTGTGCTGGGGATGTCCTGCCTGAAGCCTGACATTGCTGATGCCGAAGACGGCTGTCTGAAGTTCTCGCAAACCGCGTCCGCGCTCCTGCCTCTTCATGCTCGCAGTGGTGAGGAGGACGTCGCGAACCCCACAGTGCTGATGAGTTTGGATGCAAAGAACGCCTTCAACTCCCTCGACCGCCAGGCTCTCTTCGACACAATCGAGGGACGTGCGAGTCGCACCACTTTGATGGGCGCATCAATGAAGGCGCAAGCTTGCCCTCTTGCCGCGAGCCTCTCCGTTTGTTCGCCTCCTACCTCTCCAGCTACCGTACTATGGAGACTCTGCTGACCTTCGACTCTTTCACAAGGATCAGTCAGCTTCCCTTCAATGTACCTCGGGCGTCTGTCAAGGCGATGCCACGGTCCCCTCCAGTGTATTTTTCTGCAACAGTATCCACCCCCTGCTTGAGGCACTTTTACCTTCTGCGAGTAAAACTCAGTGACGCTCCCTGCTCATCCAGAGGAGTCGAAGACTCTGATTTACTGGCAGAAGGTAAAAAGTGCCTCAAGCAAAACAAAGCTAAACCTCCTGGCACACAGCGCACAGCGAGAAGCTGCACAATCACACACAAAACACAAGCCCGAAAAGAACCAGCACTGCTGGCAACCGTCAGCAGACCCGGCATCGCCAGCCCAAGCGCGAGGCCGCGCAGACAAGCAGCCGAAGGGTCAAGCAATCAAGCAACAAGCAGCAGGAGCATGCAGGAGGAATAAAATCCCTTAGACGCAATACCCGGAGGCAGTGTCAGTCGAGACGCCTGGACCGAACGTCCGCTGCCGCCTCAAAGCTGGCGGTCGCGGGCGAGGAAACACCGTATTGGTCTTTCTTTGCATCCAAACTCATCAGCACTGTGGGGTTCGCGACGTCCTCCTCACCACTGCGAGCATGAAGAGGCAGGAGCGCGGACGCGGTTTTGCGAGAACTTCCGAGAATACGGATTTACTGGCAGAAGGTAAAAAGTGCCTCAAGCAAAACGAGTAAAACTTCACTACTCACAAGCCTGGAGTCACATTGCGGCGCTGCGCAGGCGGAGGCCCGGAATGAAGTGCTCATGAGACGAGTCGACGAGAGCGCGCAAACCAGGAAATGGGAAGATTTACTGGCAGAAGGTAAAAGTGCCTCAAGCAAAACAAAGCAGGAACAAGCTAAACCTGCTTGCACAGGTATGTGTACTGGAACTGAGTTTTACTCGAAGAAGGTAAAAAGTGCCTCATATGTGTACTACATATGCCGGGGGGCGTCCTGCGTCATCAGGCACAGCAGCCGGGTCAGGTGGGATCCCCGCGCCATCTACGGAGAGATCTCGAGCAGTGAACGTCCAGGCTACGACTGTATACCCTCAGAGGGCGTGAACTTTTTACCTTCTGCCAGTAAATCTTCTCCTACTGCGGCAGCGGACGTCTCGACTGACAGTGATCAGTCGGCTGCCTCCGGGTATTGCGTCTAAGGGATTTTATTCCTCCTGCATGCTCCTGCTGCTTGTTGCTTGATTGCTTGACTCGTGACCCTTAGGCTGCTTGTCTGCGCGGCTTCGCGCTTGGGCTGGCGATGCCGCGTCTGGGTGCCAGCAGTGCTGGTTCTTTTCGGGCTTGTGTTTTGTGTGTGATTGTGCAGCTTCTCGCTGTGCGCTGTGTGCCAGGACGTTTCGCTTGTTCCTGCTTTGTTTTGCTTGAGGCACTTTTTACCTCGAGTCTGCCAGTAAATCCGACATTCCCTCTTGCCATCTCGACGGACGGTACCCTGCATCCTGACACCCTCGCTTCATCTGGTATCTGGCGGACATCATTGCTCAGCGCTCGATGCCCAGCGTCATCCCTCTTGCCATCTCGACCGGGACGGTACCCTGCATCCTGACTGTTAGGAAAACTTCCTAAAAGTATCTCTCGATCCAGTGTTGACACACGAAGTGATCCCGTCAAGAAACCAAAGAGCAAGCGCGCGACAGCAATGCACAATTCAACGGCAATTTACTCCAAATCCACGTTAGAGATAAAGAAAAGTAAGTAATCTAATTTCCTAAGAAACGAGACTGCCTAGGACACCTACTTAAGAAAGACAGGAAGTCAGTAAACATATCCTATCATTTCGCTCCCTAGCGCTGATAGATGAGAACACACTTCTCAGCTCCAACTTCGCTGCAAACACCAAGAATCATTTAGCATTCACAAGATTGAAATCACGAATCATTTTCCTCAACTCTGGAGTGCGAAATTCACGCGTAGACAACCAAGAATCATCCGACGACTTGTCATATCCTTTCCAACGAACCAGGTACTGCACACGATTACCTTTCCCACGACGAGCCAAAATACGATCGACTTCAAAATACTGTCCATCGCGTTGAACCAAAGGCAACGGTGGTGGTTCAATTTCATCCAGAGAAACATCTCGAAAATAGTAAGGACGAAGTTTCGCCACGTTGAAAACTGTTTTCTTCATGTGTTGAAAACGCGGTGTGAACTCCAAGCGCACAGAGTTATCTGAAACTTTCTCTTGTATCTCGAAAGGCCCAATGAAACGAATTTTCATCTTGCCCATGGACTCATGCAACTTCAAATCGCGCGTCGACAACATAACGAAGTCGCCAACATTGAATTGTAGATCCTTTCGAGATTTCTTCATAGTCTTCTCCTTCTGAATCGCTGACAACGTTAACGCATCGCGAGCCAAGTCGACGGCCGCCATGATCTTGTCACGTACTTCTTCCACGTCCTCAGCACGATCGTCAGGAGTCAGGTCCAAAACTGTACGAACGTCTCTGCCATAGATGATCTCAAACGGCGTAAGATTCGTCGCATCTCTAACGGTCGTATTCCAAATTGTCTCCAGATGTACGAGATAATCATCCCAAGACTTGCTATCGTGTCGCATGCAGAAGATCCGCAAGGCTTCAACTATGACACTGTTGAACTTCTCAACTCGTCCCTGCGACTGCGGATGATAAACGCTGCTATGGCGTATGTCGATTCCCATGAGAGTGAACAACTCAGTCCAAAATTCTGAAGAAAATAAACTCCCGTTGTCCGAGACCAACGTTTTGCAAATCCCTTGAGCACGATAAACCGTCTCGAAATACGCACGAGCTGCTCCTTTCGATGTGATCGTCTTCTTACACGGATACAAGAACACCCTGTTGGAAAACTGATCGAGAAACACCAAGACACTGTCGTTTCCCCGCTTCGAGGTGGGCAGCGCTGTAAGCAAATCCACTGAAATCTTCTCGAATCGCTCACGCGGAACCAAATGACTGTGCGGTTCGCCAGCCGCTCGTTGCTTGTAACTCTTGCCTTGCAAGCACTCCGCACACGAGTTGACATAGTTCGCGACGTCCTTACTCATGGTAGGCCAGAAAGCGATTTGCGACGCCTTCAAGAAAGTCTTCGTCTTCCCTACATGGCAAGAATCGTCATGAATCAGGCGCAAGAACTTCGCTCGAGAATGATAAGGAATGCACACACGTTCCCGACCAAGCGAGTCCTTCCAAAACAAGACTCCGTCTCGCAGAAAATAAGTTCGACGCTGCATTGGGACCATGTTTCCCTGTTGAATGTCCTGGAGAACCTGCGCGAAATATCTGTCCTGCTGATAATTTTTTGACGACATCAGCTGTAAATGCGTTGTCTGTTGCTAGAGCGTAGCAGTGCGTAACAACCTCTGCATCACTGTCAGTCACCTCCATCACCTCCCCCTCCCCAGAGGACGAGATGGTACAAAGCAAGGTAGGATCCAAGTTGACCAAATCAGCACGCTGTCGAATCTCATCGTCTAACGCACTCTGTGACGGCACAACCGTAGAATCGTTCGGACGAGATAGGTAGTCAGCGATGACATTCTCTTCTCCAGGAATGTAGGAGATTTCATCCAAATCGAAATCAGCAAGAATTTGACTCCATCGAAACAATCGACCCGTGAGGTTGCTCTGCGTAAGAAGATACTTGAGACTCTTGTGATCTGTACGAACCAACACCCTGCGTCCGTACAAGTAAAACTTGAAATGAACCAATGCTGAAATCAATCCCAGAAGCTCCTTCTCGCGCACTGAATAATTTACCTCAGCACTGTTGAGACGCTTGCTAAAGAAGGCGACAGGCAACAGATCTTCGCCATGCTGTTGTGTTAAGACAGCACCGATGGCGTAGTCGCTCGCATCGACCAACACGCAAGTAGCTAACGCTGGGTTGAAGTACCTTAAAACAGGGGCTGATATCAAACGCTTCTTCAGCTCCTGAAAGGCCGCCTCTTGCGCGTCATCCCAACAAAACTTCACATTCTTACGTAGAAGATTCGTTAGCGGAAGTGCTAACGCTGCGTAATCCGGCACATACTTCCTGTAAAAGTTCAACACTCCCAAAAACGACTTGAGTTCCTTCACTGCCTGAGGTGCCGTACGATCCACAATCGCTTGTACCTTTTTCTCTTGTGTCGAGACGCCTGCCTCGCTGATGTGGAAACCGAGGAAATCAATTTCAGAGTGAAACAGCTTACATTTCGACTTCTTGACAAACAACTGCTCTTTGCGAAAGCGATCCAGAGCCTGTCGAAGCAAACGCTCATGTCTCTCCAAGCTCCCATAACTGATCAAGCAAACATCGTCGATATAGCTCAGGCAATTCTCGAGACCTTGAAGAACACTCTCGAGAAATTTCTGAAATTGATTTGCCGAATCTACCAAGCCGAAAGGAATCCTCCGATACTGATATTTCCCAAACTTCGTGATGAAACACGTGTACTTCCTCGACGCGGCGTCCAACTCAAGTTGCCAAAAACTTTTCGCCAGTCGAGTGAGCTGATCCACAACCGTGCCCCAGTTCTGAAGCATAACGCGCTCTCTCTTCCATGATCTTTCGACCCACTCGTTCTATCAGCTCCATCACCAACG